AAAATGTATGTTCATTTTTTATTTTTATCTTGTTACTTACGTTTGTTTGTGTGTATTTTTTATTTATTTAACTCGAAAATCGTGATCGCCAAATATGGCAGAAAAACCTCTTCGAACATCTCCGTAATAAAATTCGCCACACTTGAATAAAACAAGTGATCAGAAGTATGAGTAAATCAAGTTAATTCTTTATTGCGTGATTATGCAACCACAAATTCTTATTGCAGTGAGTCATGTTGAATTAAATAAAATCAAAAAATGTAAAAATTATTAAAAGAAAAAATTCCACCAAAACTTGATGATATTGATGGCGGGATAGAATCCAGACCCGAAAATTATTTACAGACGGCTGTGATGTTTGCTCGGGACGTGATTGAGTTGATTCCAAATTGAGTTCAGAGTTCCAGAGCTCGGCTGGCGCAGTCGGTTGAAACAAATGGAAGAATGAGCGCGACGGCAATCGCGAAATTTGAATTGCAAATATGAAAACGAAGGCGTTGTGTGGCCGCCGCGCAGCTGCAGAGAGGGATGGTGGCTGATAGACGAGGCTAGGAAAGATGAAAATATGGGTTGTCGAAACCGCACATTCTGCGGGAGCAAGAACAGGAGCGACAGCACCGCCTAGGTGCCTAGTTTATGAGAGCGCGCGCGCTGCGAAAATAGAACAACTTGATGCCCGACCGTTGATATCGAATGGGTGGAGTATCAATTAAAGCCAAATTAAAGTGCTCAACATATTTACGCGTACAGTGTGTTGCATAAAAACACAAAACACGACACAAAATAGTTTTAAACAAAATCCAAGCTTGATTAAATAATTATAAATCAATTTATTCAAAATTTTACGGTTGGATTTACTGTCGCTTTGATAAATGACCAGCAAAACATAAATTTTCCAGCCGGCTAGTACAACATAAACCCAAGAGTTGATTCCGGAAATTGCCATTTTATGAAGTTAGTTACAAGGGTTGTTAACCCATTTCCAACTCGATTTTCAATTACTAATTAACTACTAAATCCCCTTAAGGGCAACTTCAACCCAATGAAAACAATTTTTCTAATGGAAACATCAATCAATTTCCTTAAACAAACACAAACACGAATTGTTCTCGCGTCCGGCTTAAAACAAACAAACACAAAGCCGCTTTTCAACATCTTGGAGTGTGTTGACGTTGTAAGTTGTAACACCGAGAATTGAATATGAGTAGGTATGTTTAACTGTTTGAGATTAAATAAAACTCGCCTCGAGTGCGATTGTTGTCGTGACGCGATATTTTCTGCCGACTGGACGAAAACCAATCATCCGCATTCAAATAAAGCCATATTTAACTTGAGATTGCAATGTCTTTGGTTACAACGCGTATCTCTCCTAGCAAATGATAAGAACCAACGCGCTAGGAAAGTTAAACATGTGCAGAGGTCGAGAATAAACTCGTAAAATGTTGTAATAGTTTAAAATCTACTGAGTGTGCCGCGATTTTAGCAAAAATGCGAAAAATGAATTTTTATGTTTTATGAAAGTGGCTGTATAGAAACAACGAGAGCGAGAGTTAATAGCATCTCTTAGAAATGCGACTAAGTGAAAAAGAATCGGAATTGTAATAAGCGGCGTGGAGAGACAGACCCCCGAGACGTTTTCGACATTGTGCGGCGCATCTTCGCGGTCTTAAATCTTCCGCGGTTAATACCGTACCACTCGCAGCCATACATAATGGCGAAATGCACATCGCCGAACGTGTAATTTTCGAGTAATTTCCAAGTTTGTTTTTCGATTCGGTTTAATAATTGGCCGTCACGTCACGACGACGCAATGCGCGAAACGCTGAAAAGAATACGCGATCACACAATGAGCAATTGCGAATAGAAGAAATACAGGCGGAGAGGATTCATTCGATGCATGATGCATGGAACGGGCTGAAATAAAAATAACACAACGGCGGGCAACAAGCCGCAGCACACGATAAGAAAAAAGTTAAACTGAAACTAAGAGTACTACAACGGCGCGCAAAAGGTAAAGAAAAGAAAGAACGACGCAATGCTAAATATGAAATTATACACGATGTTACCAATCGGCCTATTAAAACCATTCATCATACCAACAAGCCGCAAGGAAAACAATCACAAAACTAAAATAAATGAAGATTTCTGCAAAATTTCAACGTTTATTCCGTCATTTTCGCAAACACCCGATGAAAAATAAAGCGATAAAATTTCTATGCATGTGTACTGTGAACGTGACTCGAACATAGGTGCATTTAGTCTTTTCATCTCAAGTTATTGTTCCATAATTCTTTTTCTTTGGCTATCGCCCCGACGCCGGCGATGGTGCAACGGCGTGCATAATGTAAGAAGCGCATGTCCGACGAGGTTCGATGTTCGACACGACGATAAATTGAATAATAGTTGAATAATTTATTGTCTTATATTTTATTCGCGCATGGCTCGCAATAAAAATGCATATATGATAAGTGATGCGTTGACTGGCTTCATTTCCATCCATCAAAACAACATTTCAACACAAATCCAGACGAAATTACATACCTTTGTTTTTGTTGATGATCTTCACCTTCCCCGACCTCGAAATTAACCGAAATGCACACCACTAGCGTTTATAAATCAAATTGGTTTGTTATTTTCTTCCGTGCGCGCACTGGAAAAGTGAAGATTTTCGACGGTTCATTATTACCACGCGCGCGTGTGTGATTAATGAATTAGTTTTCGGAATGTGTCGTGGAATGTTAACTCTTCATCGCGGCGACCGGTAACACAATGCGTGTGTCGTTGTCGATTTTTAGTTTCTACCTGCTGCGTGTGCGGTGTGAGTACTCGAGTTAGAATTGCGCGCGCGCGTGTGGCTGAGCCCAATGCTCGACAGGTACTGATCCACCTCGCGTTTTGCGCGCCCAGCTCAACGCACACACGCTGCACGTTTCGCCCAAAAGACACGCCGCCGGTCGCGAATCGAGCGATATCAGAAACAACAGCGAGAAGAATGCACGACGCGAAACAAGGAAAGACGCACACACACACTGCAAACGCAAGCGACTTAAGTCTACAAATGCATAATGCACACGTTTGCACAAACTCACAACTTGGACTAAGCAACCACCAGCGATACGAGATTATTACTTGATTGGAAAACTTTTCAAAGTCACTTGATTCGACGATAAACGCAACTAATACAATTTATTTTGAAAACAATTTTATTTAAGTGTACTTAACGGATTTGCACTAACAAATTGATTGTTGAATCAATAATCGACACATTCGTGTCCGATATGTCCACAAATCTCTCTATGCGAATGCAAATAAGTTTATTATGCGAAAAAGTTACTTCAACAAACGGCGATCAGTTACTCAGTCACTGATTAAATACATTAACGTGTGTTTGCATGACGCAAGAATGCAAAGTAACAAAGTACGAGAAGATTGATGAGTTTGGCTGTTTGAATATATTAAAATTTTATGTTTTACGCCTGAAACATTTGAATGAGCGTTTGTGGAAGAAATGATTGAAGGTTTATTGAACTTTTTTGTTCTTATTGATGAGACGACTTTTACTTGTTGTTGATGCGAACAAATTTCCGTCTATTCATTAGTTTTGCATGCAGAAACAACGATTGTTTTAACATCGTGTCATTTGTCATCAATTTTCTACCTGAGTATCGATGCATTCAGCTGTTTTTGCTTGTTTCATCAATAATTCTGTGCGCGCTTCCGGTGGACGGCATTATGTTTCGCAATTTCCTAACTAGAATAACAACATGCTGTCGAGCGTGCAGATTCGTGTATGCAGTATATATAGATGTGCATAAATCGACGAAATTTTCCATTACATTTGATCAGCGCTGCAAAAAGTTGACGCCAGCGCGTAATTCGATAATGGCGAACTAATTTTTCACTCGAACACATTTCGCGTACCTGTTGACACGTGGAGACAGCGTAAAAATGTAATAAACAGCAGATATAGCGAAATCGGAGGGCAGGATGTTCACAACGCGCGAGTGGCATCGTTTTTCGCCACGCTCGACGACAGGAAACGCTCGAAATGCTGCAAACATCAATTAAACATCCGCATTTACAGCCACAACCACATCTGTAAAAAAATATACTAAAAGTCAACTCAATTCTAACAATAAACTAATAAAATATCAAAAATGACAATTGACACCTCCGCAAAAAACTTATTTCATTGATTCACTCATAGAAATATGCTATGAAGATTCCTAGAATATGGATTTCAACAGGTTGATTACAGTCGCGTGTGTAACCGCGTTGTATTAAATTAAATCCGATGAAATGGGATTTCTGCTTCAATCAAGGCGAGGCAAGGATCAGATAACGACCTCCGCGTTTCAACCATTATTCCGCACATTTTTCAATCTGTGCTAATGAACAACACAACATATACAATATTCAAAACCTCATCATGAATAATTTTATTTGTTTTGTGATTTTAAACAAATCACAGCGAAAACATCATCATGTGTGCTGTATAATGCTATTTTTAATTCATTTTGGTGAAATTTTGCGGCGCTTGAGGTAATTTAACCCAATAAATCATTCAGCCCTAAAGAATTATTTATAACTTCATTTGGTTATTGATTTTACATCACAATTGCCCCAATATTCACACTGTTATTACGCAAACAGCATTTTTTAAACGCTCCGACATTGAAATTCTCGTTGTAGTATATTAGAATAGAAGCAAATTGCTGTTTTCGAAAACCTTCATGTTTTGAAAACGAGGAAACAAACAATTGAATGGGATACAACACGACAGCGAAATTAGGATGAATATCGAACAAAGTACAAAACGTTTCGCTCAGGGCCGAAATTTACCAACATTTTGCATATTCCAAACACTTATGTAATGTGAAACACAATTTTCGGTCATGTCTAGACTGATGTCTGTAATTGTTTAACAAATTGAACACTTTGGATGCTAAATATCTGCAAAAACAAGTCATATAAGTTGCGCTCCATAAAAACCAGCCATCTTCTATAAATATTTACAGTTTATTTCATTCAATGATAGTAAATTAACTAATAATGTTGTAATTAATCGATCCTCACTCGCGATCGATCAATTACACGTTTAAACATACTTTTTATGTATATGCATATAAAAAAGAATAGAATAGTAGGAAGAAACGAAACTAATTACACATTAATATATAAGTTTGATGTCGTCTTGTTGTTTACGTTTGTTTTTTCATTTTCTCGGAGCGACTTCTCATCTGCTTGCGATTTTGTTCGATTTCCTAGGATTAGCGGTTCAACCGCGCTGATACAATACTCTATTTAAACATAATTACTGTACAAATCAAAGGGTTACAATAATTCGGTGGGTATTTGCTTCGAAATAAATGCAGAAAGTTTTCTTTTGTTGCAGTCTTTTCAACTCAATCACGTTTTGTGTCATGTTTGCTCGTTTCGAATTTTGATTGTGTCCAACTTTTAATATAATCATCATTTCAGTTTGATAAGAACATTAAAAATTCAACTAATATGTTCTGTCAGGTCCGAACCAAGCGGTAATTTAAATTTAAACTACAAATTATGTACAGAGTGTCATTAAATATGTGAAAATGTGTGCCATTTTCAAGTCTCAACTTGCAAGCACATATAAAATGTAATCAAATTGCGTAAAATGCAAATTTCCTCGACGTCTCCCAAACCTCCCCCATCTCACATATCAACCCGTTTCCTTTTTCTATTCATTTAACACCAATAAATTCAATCGGCACGCTCAATTGAATGTACATTGCGTATACAACATTCGTATTCACACAAGATGCGCATGCTTTTACCATCATCACCTCTCGTCAATTCGCGATAAAAACTATGCATTACATATAACTGGCTCTCTTGCTGGCGTATAATCATATTACATATATACTCAATCGATTCAACAAATAAACACCCACGGTTACCATTTTTTTTACAGGATTATCTTACACTTTGCGGGTACCATGCATATTGTTTAAGGTTTAAAGTTACTTTCTTTACATATCTCATCTACAACGCTATCATCGTATGTGTCATTCATATCTAGCGTGATCCTTTGATTCGGCCTACGGGAAAAAATCGTAGTGTGTGTGTGTGCATGTTCAAAGGTATCCACTTTACAATGCTAATTTACACTCAGTTGCCTTGCTCGCAATACGGAGAACAGGGGAATAATTTACAACTCCACGCAATTTCGCAGTTTTTTTTTCTTTCTTTCAAAAACAACTTCATGAATATCATGAATATCAATTCAATATGATTGTGGTTGTCTCTTAATGTCTATCAATCGGAGTAAGTAATTCACTGTCATATGTATGTGCTATGTAAGTAGATTAGTTTGATTATTGTACATATACGCGTGTTTATAAGTCTAAACAGTCTTCTGGTTTTCCAATTTTGTTTGTTTTTTTTGTTTCGCAATATCCTTAAATTCTTATCGTAATTTGTTAATTTCTCGTTTCGAATAGAAGAATATGTTCAAAATTTAGTACTTTTTTGACTTTCTTTCTTTATCTACGTCTCGCTAGTTCTATTTTACAATTTACATCCAGGTTTATCTCCGATTACAACATGTCTAAGTCATCTTAGGATATCACACACCTAATTGAAAATTACGTTATCTACTTGCTCTTATTTTGCCATTAAATCATTGCAATGCATTCTCGCTTCCTTCATTCGTATCGTCGATGTTCGTAGGTAATTTGTTACGCTTCGCCATTTTGTTTTTATTGTACTATTCCACTAATTTGGTAAGAAAACATGTAGTAAAACACTTAAATAACCAAAAAAGTATTGAAAAAATTGGTTAAATTAAGTTTACGAATACATTAGCGCTGGTGTTCATAAAATTACTTGGCTATAAAATTACACAAAAATAAAAATAAAATCAGTCGCAATTTAATTAAAATATGTACGTAGCTTTTACGATTTGCAGTTTTGATTTGATGGCGTCGCAATGATATTTCTATTGAGAGCATAATCAGTCTATTAAATTTGCCACACTGATATCAACGAATCAAATGGAATATATTCGTTGATAAAAGCATATTACTTGTTTTCACAATGACATCTTGAACACTCACAATTACAAATTAACTAAATGAGCAAATAAATTTAAGTACCAATTGCACGCCGTCAATAAAATTTCAATCTTTTCAGTTCGCGGAGATCATTCAAGATGCTAATCGCTTAATGAACACAAATTACGTTTAGTTTAAGTTACACCTCAATTAATACTATTTAACTTGCGAAACTAATGATGATGGATGAAAAAACGCGACATGGAATCAATTTATTAAAATGAATGAAAATGTCATGATGGTGAAGTACAGCGCACTCGATACTAATGCATGATTGTTCTCGTTCTTTGATTAATAATAAATGCTAACTACGATTTTGCAAAAGTGGCAGTAGTCTTGGCAGTGATTCGATATTATATTTTGTCATGTTCACAACGCTCGTCTCACACATTCATCAAAGAAATGCGTTCTGTTTGCCTTTAAAAACAACAAGAATCCAAACTGAAGCATCCACTGAGTATAATATTACAATTACAATTGTTTGATGATGGTGTGTCTACGGTTGTTGTAATAATGGATTGCATTCGTTTGTTTCTATAATAAGTCTGGCAAACGCATCCCACACTCGCATTTACAATATGTTACAATATGTTACGAATGATACCTTCTCTTCGCAGCTAGTCAGTTTATCTTGGCAGTGATAATTAGCTGATTGCGCTCAATCCTGGCTGGCGCCACAATTCGATCGCTCTACTTACAATATCCGTACACACGAGTCTCCACGTTTCATGTCGCGCCCCGTGTTTGATCCAGGAGGCGCGAAACCACATGAACTTCGCTTTATTTTAGATTTGTTTTACCTAAATTTTTACCTAAGTCTTACGTACATAATTAGAATAATTTATACAATAAAATAGCTAGTATATCGACAGCGAACACACACCTAATAGCTTTTACACATTCTTTTTGGTCATCACACAACCAAACCCAATCGTTTGTTCAAATAATTTAGCGCTGGTGTTGCTTCATCTCGGTTGCAGCAAGATTTGATAATAATTTAAATAAAGTCACCACTAAAGAGCATTGCTAAATCGTAATTATTAGAGTTAATAACTTTAAATTAATAACGGAGATCATTTTTTGTTTGTTGTTTGCAGTTTCGTTTGTCGTCTAAAGCTCATGCTCTTGCAGTTGATGTGCAGTGTGCAAAAGTCTTCTAAACGAAAAGATAAACACTCTATCAAAGTCTAGTCAAAGTCAAATTATGTGCACTTTTTTGAACATTTTGAACCCTGTTTCGCGCGTCCGTCCGCATTGGTCCAGCGTCGTCCGTCGGCGTGTCCTTCGTATATCACGTGTGCAGATGCAGTGGCTTACGGCGATGTTTTTGTCGTCCTGCGGGACTACTGCAACTGCTGGAACTACTGCTGTCGTCGGAGGTGCTGGAACAATGCGGGAACAGGATCGGACGCAGGTTGTCCTTTGCTGTCGCGTGTAAATTAGGTATTTGAACGTCTTTTGTCTTCGTGTACTCCTTCTCCACTACCCATTCATCTTCCAGTCTACAAACAAACACAATATTAGTTATTATTGAATAATTTCGGGGTAAATTAGTTGTATTTACATGTCACTGGGATGCCATCTGAGTAGCAACTTGCGAGTGCCATCCAATTCGACGCGTTTTGCCAGTATTTGACTGCTGAGAGTCACCGTCTGGCCATCAGTACTGTCGAACTTTCCGTTTGTACGTTTTTCAGTCATGGTGAGCAGCCTATATTGCAAACCTTCCATCATGCCGGAATCAATAAAGTCAAACATACGCGCTGCAAACCAAAATATTTCACATCAACGTCATGAAACTCCCCAAAGGAAAATCCATCGCTGTATAATTACCTGACCAAGGTTGTCGCCGAAAGCGTATTTTCTTTCCGTTGCGTTTAAACAGCTTGACGGACGTATTTTCCAGCGACTTTTTCGCGTTACCATTTTGTGTACCATCCGTACTAAAATGTCCGTTAACATGGCGCTCCAAGGCCAGCTGCAAAACGTAAAGTTTCCTCAATAATCCACACAAAATTTGCAATCAATTTTAGACAACATGTACTAATGGACTTTGCACAGCGATGCAGTTTAATGATAGTGAGTAATGAGTAAATAAGGCTGTCAATAAAACTACCAAGAAGACAAAGTAAACACAAAGCAAGGTAGAAGGATGTAAGAGAAGAAGAAAAGAGAGAGTTGCAGTAAGCACCTGCGAATTGAAGCGTTGCCCGCAGCCGTCGACGATGCACCGAAACGGCTTGGAACCGGCGTGCGCCAAAACGTGACGCTCCAGCCACGACCTGGAGCACGACTTGCGGCCGTGCACCTTGCATCCTTGCCAGAGACACACGTATTGTTCCTGCTTCTCTTGCGATATCACATGTTTCACCTGAACAACACGAACGACAAGTTAATTACGCCTCAAACATCTTAATACCAACCAAATAAATTACCTGTAGATGTTCTAGTAAGGCACCATTGGTATCAAATTGTGCAGCACATTGATCCCATTGACAGGCGGCTCTGTCCGCCCTCACGGCGATTTTCTTCGGCACTGGTACGCGTTCCTTCGCCGGAAACCGGATGGTTTTCGGCTGGGAAAGAATGGGCGACTTCTGTGCCGCGTCCGCCTTGAGCAGCTCGTCGTCATTTATGAGCACCTCTAAATTACTAGACACCCCTGAATCCGCTGGACTCAACTCCTCCGGCAACTGTGTGCGCGTTTCCACCTTCGCCGCAACCACCGCCTCGGCTTTATTACCATCCTCACCAACAAGTCGTTCCTCACACGTGCTATGCGTTTCGGTCTCCATCACATTGCTGATCACTTGATGATGACTCGTGGTTACCGCCGTCACTGAATTCACACTTCCTTCAACTGGCTTACAGCCTACCGATGGTACCGCCACCGTGTTGATCACATTCGTTTGTTGATGATGATGGAAATTCGCGTTGAGTTTCAATATCGTCGGCATCATGGACGCCGAGGTGTTGAGTTTAACGAAGTTATTAATATTGTTTAGACCGTTGATGGTGGTCACTTTCTGTAAGGGCTGTATAATGCCCAGAGGTGGTGTACCGCGCGTGGTCATAATCGGAATGGCGTTGAGCTTGTCATTCAGGGCAAATTGCGGCACGTAAATCCCGCTGCTATCGGTCGGCTTCGACGGGGTTTTCGCCTGTGGCGCCTGAATGGCATAAACGTTTGGGATTAGCGTTGTGATAATAGGCGGGTGGTAATTGTTCGCTGTAATCTGGTGGCCCATGCTAATGATACCGTTGTTGCTCTCGGCCTTCGAGGGCGCCGGGAGGATTTTTCGCGGAATCGTGCGTGGGGACTTGACGATCGGTTTCTCCATACTCGCCTGTCGATGGAGGCGCGGAATCGCCTTCTTGGGTATCACATCCAGCTTCTTGCTAGCGGCAAATTTACTGTTGGGGTTGGCGATCGTCTTGATCATGATATTCGACAGCTCCTTCTTGAGTATCGTGCTGCTCTTGTACTGACTTTTAAAGTACTCGGTAATCTTTCCCTGCTGGAGGCGGGGAAACACAGCCTTGGGGTCCATGCCGACGAGCAGTTCCGCCGCCGACGGGGGCAGTATTGTCACATTCGCGACGCCATTGAGCGTCGCCTGCTGCTGATTGTTAGACGTATTGCTGAGTTTCACATTGTTCATGATGGCGGGCTTTTTATTGGGACTAGGCTCGTGGGCGGCGTGCGCCGCCGTCGTCGTTTGTGCGTTTCGATTTGAGGTCGTGAGGTTGTTATTGAGGCATTTCTGCGTGCTATTACTACTACTGGTCTCTTTACGCTTAATCGCCTGCCGTTGCTTCGATGGCGTATCCTTCAACGCCGCCACTTGTTTGACGACCATCGCGGGTGTATCCTTCGCGGACAACTCCTCGGCCGTCCAAGGCCAAGGGGGATGGTGGACGTTTTGTGTGGGCGGCATCTTGGTCGGCTGATTACTATTTCCCGAATCCTCCGAGTGTGTCGATGCCGTACTAAACGGCGAACCGGGGTCAGTAATGTCACTCGACGCTGTGGAACTACCACTGCAATCTGTACAACTCAATATCGCCACTCCACTGTAAAAGAAACAGAAAGAAAAACATTAATAACATGAATCAGCAGGTCATAAAATAGTTTTGATTCAGATTCAAGGCAACTTCAACACGAAAACCGTTCTTTTTCAACATCCGTTGTATATTTTATAAATATTTCCCAAAAAAAAAAACAGTCAAAACCATCATGAAACACAGGAAAAGGAGTTAAAAATAAAGCGGTTACTTAACGCACAAACACGACATAGTTTTCCGACCACAGTAGAGAGGAGCATGTGCTGTTTAAATTTTTGCCTTTTTTCTTCGCCTCACTCTTTGCGTGCGCTCCGCCATCGTATACATTTTACAGTTGGTACACTTTACACATCTCTCTCGCATTGAACCGTGGCCCAAAACGCTGTTTGTTATGACAGCCGCCCGCACGCACTGCACGAAAATCTAAAACCGACTAAATTCAAACACGAGAGGAGAATCTCTCTAGACTTGCACGGCCGTTTAGGCCACATTTCCAGTGTGAGTCGTCGAGACAAGAACTAGACGCACACACAACCATCATGACCGGGCATGTGTGCGTTGCTCGTGGAGTGCGGCCGACGGGGCAATAAAAAGGGCCTATTTTCGTCGCACAACAATGGCACTTCTTCGCCGGCATCCGACGTGTTTCGAGTTGCGTTGCGTTCCTCGGATGCGTGCGCCGCCATCCCTGTCCGTCGTCTCCACAATCGTTCAATCAACATCGCCCTACTACTCTTCTTCACGGCGTAATTTTGGGACTACCTACGAACGCATGGTGGTTGCCCGGCATCAAATAACTAAGGGGATGACGCTGCACATATCAGGCAACACGAAAAAATATACAGAGTCTTAAATAATTGAAATTTTAAGTAGTTTTGAAGAATTCGAATCAATTAATGCAGAAGATGATAAGTTGATACTTTGGGAGTAAATAAGCTGCTTATCGTGGTGAGTATTTTTATCGCAGGGGTACGCAAATGAAGAAATGATTAAAGACGGACTTTGGAGAAGCAATAAATGGCCGGCACAATAAATCCGGGTTGGCCGACCGCAATAAACGTAACGCGATTCGGCGAATCCACCGAAACCATCGCATAAAACCACTCATCCTTCGATTTATGACGAATGCAACAATCCAAAATGTTTTCACAAAGCGATTGTTTCGATTTGGATATTTTACGTGCCATTTAGGAAATTCCAACTACACAAACGCCTAAATATCTTGCCTGCACTTTGCAATTGCGCCGAAATTCAAACCGACGCCGCGTTGTTTGCAAACAACCTCCACTCACGCGCATGTTGCAATAATCCGCATTAAAAGTGCACCCAGGTAGGTAGCGAAAGGTATTGCACAAGCAAGAAACCGTCGAGAGAAGAGAAAAAAAAATGAGTATTGCGCTCGCAGTGACCCGCAAACTGTAAACTCATCAAATGCAATTGTGTCCAAGGCTATTTAGCGCACACAGCGTTTTGCTAGTCTTGCAAGCAGCAACACGCTCGTTTTTTGCATTCTTCATGCCTGCAAGCGACGAGATTTACTACATGCCTACAACACAAGTACAAACCTTGCAGATTGCGATAATCTAATAGAACATGGCTTACATTAATGTTGCCAGGCTTCAAGGAGAACACCAAAAGTGCAAATTGGTCGAAATCGTTTCGACATTTAATCGCGCGTAAATACTTACGAGGTTTTAATAAGCAGAAACAAGAGTAGCAGGAGCCAGCACGCAGTGAGATAAAATCATAATGCGCATGGGAACTGCAACAATGCCCATTGCACACTTCCTGTATGCGCGTACAACTTGAGTTTACGTAATCACGACGCGAAAAACTGCAAGGTTGGGCGACTTGAACGCTCGACGTGTGCGCAATAAAACTCCGCGAGGCACGGAAAAAAATTCATACACTTCTTGCAGCGCATTGCATCGCAATTGAGGTATTAATCGATTAATCCTTGAATTATTACCACACACACAGAAATAGACATCTTTTGTTTTATGCGCGGCCATAAAACAAGCGCTCGTTTTAGTTGATTTACTTTAGCGATGACTAAATTTAATGACTCGATTTTTGATTAGCTTGCAAATAATTACCAAGTAGTGAGTATAAGTAACTAGTAAGCAGAAAACGTGCCTAGAAATTGAATTACAAAGCTGACCCTATTCCGTCAGCCCGGTGACGTGATCTCCACATGAGAAATAATCATTTTTGACACCGCACTAATTATTTCGATAAAAATTCACGTACCTGCGGAACACAACCGTAAAACTGTATCGGCAATTAACGCGTCCATCAGCTTTCTTCGCTCATCTAATCTAAACGCATGATACCGACAAAAAACAAAATACTTACTAATTGTGGGTAATTTTAGAGATAAAAACAGTTGGTATATCAATAACTTTAGTTGGTTGTTACGCGCGGACTTTAACTACAGCTTAATTTGAAGAGAAAGGAAACATTTGCACGTTTTTTACATCAATCTGGGCCGTTCGAGCAATGGCATCCCATTAACATTAGATTACGATTTCCTTCAAAGCGCACCAACCTTTAGGGTTAGAGATAGAACATCGAAAACGGAACGAAACCATCGCTGCGGTTTTCCGTTCGGTGGAACCGATCGACGATTGTTACGTCTGATTGATGAATGATGACTGAATGACTAAAAGGCAAACCGCACATGCGGGGAATATCGAAACATTGAAATATTGTATAATACACACAGGGAGATACATATCTAGCAGTAGTATATCCGAGCGACGACCACGAGACAGTCATTTGTTTCCTATTCCTGCATTTCTATATATATATAAAATATGTTCAATGTTGAGTTGAATATGTCGATGATGTCGGCTGTAAAACTCAACGTATGTAAATCCGTGTGCCTTCACCCACTTCCGCCCATTTTTATGTGTATGGGCACATGACGCGTCGACGGCGTTACTGCACTTCCGGTTTTGATGTTACACATGATTTCCACCAAACATTAATATTAATTCGTAAATTTCCGCAAAATAATATTAGGAAGAGAATCATGTTTTGTGTCTGTACCTGAGTCTCACCTGAGCACCGTTGCGAGCACCACCACGAGACCCGCGACCGAAGAAGCGGCACGCCGTCGCACCGCCGCGAAGAGAACTTAGGTCAATGGACCTAATACAAGGTCAATTGGACTTTGGCTACGTGTGTATGCGTGCGCGAACATATGATTTCCGAAGCGAAACAGACACACACATGACATGCCCATCGGAAGAAGACCAGCGGTAACCCGAAGAGATACACCCAAAGGAGGTGGAAGTCGAAACCTACTAGCGTTGATGTGTTCCAAAGGTAAAAGGTGCCTCCTTGCATGTGTGAGAAAGTGTGCACGTGGGTCGCGTACTACAACTTTTTGTGGCGTTGCACGTTTACTTGCCCAACTTACGCATTCGTCAAGTTTTTATTACTCAGCCATCTACAGACTCAAGTGTATATGGTTCCTAGATCCATTACGGCTTGCTGGTGCTTCCAAGAAGAAGAAAAAGAATGAAAAGTTCCTGGATGTAAGCGCGCATATAAAAAGCACAAGAAGACCAAATCTAGGAGTTCATAAAAACGACGAATATTCCGAGGTTTAAACCTTAAACAATTATCCGAGAACGTCGGCAGGCGCCGTAAGACATGTAATGAATAAATTATCATCGAAGTTTTCTCAAGTTTATAGTTTTCTGAACTTTTAGACAAGTATTATTTTACTAAACTCTAATTTTCCTCCACAGATGATTGATTAAGCAATTCTTTTAAATATAATAAAAGAAGTTTTAGTTGTGATGCTTTTTGTTTGGCCGCTAAAGTTTATTACTTTGTTTGCGCACACTTTTATGCGCTTTGCGCAGCGAAATATGCCCGCAGCGTTTGGGTTTAATAATAAATAAAGTGCATTCACTTTTAAATGCATAACTCGTTCCACCGTTGGCGTGTGTTGCGATTTTATAGCGCCGGTTGGCAAACTTCTTGCGTTTGTGTTCCGAGTTATTGTTGTTATTTCAAAAGCACAAAAAAAAACGGCGAATGCTTTGACTCGCGACTTTGCTACATCCACAACTTCACTCTTCTCTGAAGTTGAATATATACGCGTAAACTTATTCAATTTGCACAATTGTTTGTTTGATATCCGAAACAAGTGAGAAATGACTCGAAAGTTGTGGAAATAAATCTCGCATCGATGATGAATGATGCGCATTATTGAACGTGTTGTGGTATGCGCTTACGGTCTTACTCGGGCGGTGTGGTCGAGGAACAGGTCCTTTTAATAAAAACGCTTTTTGTTCCATTTAAATGCGTACAAACTTGAACTTGGCCGGCGTTTTTCGGCGTCGTCCTTGCGCTCAGACGTTCACCTTTGCTTTCGCGAGCAAACGCGCGCGCGCTGAGATGCGAGCCAGGAGGCACGACAGGTCTTTCGGTTACCTTTTTTTCTTTATTTCTTCATCGCGTATAGAAAACGGCCACTTGTATCTCCACTTGCTATTATATATTTATAAGTTCATTAGGATATAATTGCCAATCAAAGAATATCGGTACAATTGTAATCAAAATAAAAATATTTAAAAAAATTAAAATTTTCATAAAAAAATTTCACTTTGTTTCTAATAAATGAATAATTAATTCCTTAAAAGCTTTCGGAAATGGTTTGTGAGTGAAATAGTGAAAGATTACAAGCGGCTATTACAAGATACCGAAGGCATCGATTCATCCCACGTGGGCGTAATCGACTAAAGTTGTTTGCATGCATCGACTCAGCCTAAGAGCGAACGTTGCTCATGCTTCATTCTTCACTACGCAGCGAATTTAATATCGCGACCAGCTGATGGCGACACACTTTCACATACACACATATCGCCAAACAAATAAACAACACACACTCTGCGCATGCTTACTAGCGTTCAAAAATTTTTATCACAGACTTTTGGTGGGCTGTTAAAACATTGCAGCCTGAATAAACTGAAATTGGAACTTGCAGTGATTAT